CGCAGTATAAATTACAGATTTCAGAGTGAGTTCTGCAGCTGGTAAAAGTTATTTTTAAGAAGTTAGCGGGTTTATTTGTGCATTTTTAGGCATCCAATCGGTTGCAACAATTCCCGGAGAACCGAGAGCCCCCAAAATCGTGACAGCTGATGTCCCCGGACCCAAGTCCCAAGCTTTGCTGAAAGAACTCGACAAAGTGCAGGTATAATATTTGATGAAATAAAATGAATATTGATTGTAAATGAATGAATTTTTGTTGAAAAAATTTGCCAGCAAACTGGTGGCGTGTCCCTGTTCATGGACTACAAGAAATCCATAGGAAATTACGCTGCTGACGTTGATGGGAATTTATTGCTTGATTGCTTCACGCAAATCGCCTCCCTTCCCCTGGGCTACAGCCACCCGGCATTGATGAAAGTCGCCTCCGATCGCGATAATGCAGTGAGTATTAAGCCTTCAAAAAACAGCTCAGTCTGGAAAAACAATTCAAAGCCTATTTTCAATCAACAACATAAAAAAATAAAAATGTGAGAACCTGAATTTCGGGTAAAATGAAAGTTCAATTCTTAGCGGTTCTGTTCCGCCATTGAATTGTATTTTTGCGTGCGGTATTTTTTCATCTGAAATATTATGGCTTCTCTGGTAATTTGAAAACTGTAGATAGGAAGACTAAGACAGAGCATGTCGTACCTAACGAATACTGTACAAACTTTCTCGATTGCTGAAGCCCTGTACATCATGTAATGTACTGTAGCTGGGATTGTGTGAAAAGTTGTTATCGTTTTGCCCCGGATTTATGAACTACAGTACTGTACCTCCACGCAGCTTGTTTCCCAGAAGAGATCTCTTCCAGGAAGAGTTGTACGACACAATGGTTTTAAGTGAATTGAATTATTGTCCAACTTCCATGAGCCGACACCATTTGGTTGTCAGGTTTTTGGCGGTTTAACGGGGTTATTAGAAAAGCTAAAATAATAAATTGAGTATAATAAGAAATAAAATTATCATTCTTCTCGAAAATAATTAAAATAACCCTGGAATGTGTAAATTAACTCCAGCTAATTTCCCCAAGAAGTGAATTATGTCATCTTAATATTTCGCGTGTGTGTGTGTTTTTTTTTTATTGGAGACTTCGTAGAAGCTGAATGTCGTTGGCGGACAGTCAAAGGCAAAATTAATTTGCGGAAGCATATTTGAGTCGTCAATAAGTTTGACGGATGGCGTTTCAACGGGCTTCCAATGCTGTTAGACCGTTAGGAAAGATGTACTGTATTCTTAAAATGAAATTGGCGGCTTGTTGGGGTCGTCTTATTGTGGTTTGACTGTACTTTTCAGGCAGTTTTTGTGAACCGACCCGCTTTGGGAATGTTTCCTTCTGCCGACTGGCCAGAGCTGCTGCAGAAAACCCTGATGTCTGTGAGTGAAAGACTTTCCATTTGAAGGTTTTCTTCTCAGTGTTACGATTTAGACATCTTGTTTGCGCTGCAGGTTGCGCCTAAAGGGTTGGACGAAGTCATCACAATGGCGTGTGGGTCGTGTTCGAATGAGAACGCCTTCAAGTGTTTGATGATGAATATGGCCGACAGGAAACGCGGTGGAGCGGACTTTTCGCAGATTGATTTAGACACTTGCTTGATCAACTTGCCTCCAGGGTCCCCCAACTACTCTATATTATCTTTCAAAGGTATAGGAATGGAAATACTGTATATGCCCAAATATCTTTATTTTATTGTGAAGGGTCTGGCGAGAGTCATACCCAATTGGTTGGAAATCAAATGAGCATCACCCAGTGGCAAGTCAACTCAAAAAGTTCGCTACAACGAAATTCAAGGGCCCAGAACGAATTTCGTTCTAAAGGTGGACTATCTGTACAACAATCTTGCCTACAACGATTTTCTTTATATAACAAATCTTTGGCCCCATAGGGTTCTCTACCCATGCAATAGGGGTTTTCTACAACGACATTCGTTCTGGGCCCTTGAATTTCGTTGTAGAAAACCCCTATTGCATGGGTAGAGAATCCTATGGGGCCAAAGATTTGTTATATAAAGAAAATCGTTGTAGGCAAGATTGTTGTACAGATAGTCCACCTTTAGTCCTAATTTTTTGACAAGTAGTTGGTATAACCATTTTTATCTGACAAATGTGGAGCAATTTTCCCAAGCACTTCAATGTGTTTGTGAAATTTGGAATCATTTTTTCTCTTTCCGTGAAGTAAAAATGTTTTCTGGCCTAAATGGAAATTAATTTCCGTTATCCTGCCACAGAAATTAGGAAATGTATGGAGACGCAGTGAAATTATGCAGTTCGAAGTGCTCGAAGGAAGTCTTGTATTTTAAACAGGCATACCAATTCAATATATTTACGAAGACGCTAATTTTACCTTGGCTCCAAGTTGAGTGGTCATTAATTTTTTATGATAGTTGAGAGTCAGGGTTCTTTCGTTTAAAAAAAAGGTGCTTTTCACGGAAGGACTTTCGGGGCTCTCTCGACAACCCATTCCAAGCCAGTTCACAAGCTGGACCTTCCCGCATTTGATTGGCCCATTGCCTCGTTTCCAATTTACAAATATCCACTGGAAGAGTTCAAGAGCGAAAACGAAATAGTGGATCGAAGATGTCTGGAGGAAGTACGGTCCCGGTTTCCAGCAGCCAAAAATAACTATTGTTGAGAAGAAATCAACCGTGATTGTTTCAGGTGCAGATGCTGATTGAACAAAGGGTGAACACGGGTACAGACGTGGTAGGGGTTGTCGTCGAACCAATCCAGAGTGAAGGAGGAGATCATCACGCATCACCCGATTTCTTGCGAAAATTGCAGGCTATAACGAAAAAGGTTTGTTCTGTTTCTTTGAAAACGAGGTCGACGGAAGATGCTACAGTACTGCATTGTTTACTCTTGCTTTTGGGATGTCAGGCAGGTGTCGCCTCAATAACTGTTCTAAGCTACCGTAACACGACGAAACCTGTAATTTTCTTCTGTTCTCGCTTCTACCTCATGTTGAAGGACGAACTTCCAAGAACAAAAGATTGATGGACAAAACAAATATTTTTCTGATTCAATGACTTAACAGATGAAAAATGCATGAATGAAGGAGAATTAAAATTTTCTTCTAGGAGACCTTCTGTACTTCTTATTTCTTTCCACAGCCTTCTCTACTTGAAACCACGGCATTCTAAGAAATAAAGAATGTGTTACTCAAAACTTGCTTTTTAATTTTTCATGGTCTCTAGCCCTTAAATCTTAATAACCGAGAACTTACGGCAATTTCCTCAACACCTCAGGTCCTGGAATTTTTATTGCTAACATACTCATAGATTTTATCAGATTTTTCTAAAGTTCAATGTAGGTTCGGTCGAGATGAATGTTGTACTCGCACTTACCTGACGATAGAAATTTTGCGAGCTGGGTTAAACAGAAAAATTGCACCATGAGTAAATTTACAAACGCAAAGAATCAGGGAGTACAGCGAGAAATAAACCACTTACTCAGGCTTTTGAGGTTGAATAAAAAATTTAATCTTTGCATTGTTATATTGCACTTACTTCATGTATTGATTTATACTTTTCAATGTTTTCATCGTTTAATTTATTTATTCATTTTTAGAACAACGATTCGAACTGTTTTTGGTAGGCCAATCTTTGATTAAAGGTTGCATTGATCGATCTAAAAATCGGGGGATGTAATCTTTGCAGTCTGGGTTGTCAAGTATGAATATAAAATACTGCACACATCGGGTTTTGATTTAAAAAGGAAAAATACTGTACGGTAGTGCAAGAAACGCTCTCCTCCGCTTCGGTGGAGCATTTTCGATTATACAGAATTTCTACACTCTTTGCCTTCAAAATTTAAATTTTCCTCTTTTTTTGCTTGATTTTAAAAATCCTGAATGCCGATTGCAGGCTGGTATTGGATTTATTGTGGATGAAGTCCAGACTGGTTGTGGTAGCACCGGGAAAATGTGGAGCCACGAACACTACAACCTAGATGGTCCTCCCGACATCGTTACATTCAGCAAGAAAATGTTGACTGGTGGTTTCTACCTCAAAAAGGAATACAGGTGAGGTTTCAATCTCGTACAATTCCCTCCTTGAGAACAATGGACCAAGTTTTGTGGTTCTGTTGTGAATCCTAGACCTAAGCAAGGATACAGGGTGTTCAACACATGGATGGGGGACCCCGGGAAGATGTTGCTGTTGGATGCAGTTTTGCAGACTATCAAGACTGATAATCTGCTTAAAAATGTGACTGAAACCGGCAAATATATCCTTTCTGCACTTGAAGATCTTCAGGCTCGTTATCCACACTGTTTCAACTCCGCACGTGGGCTGGGATTCATTTTGTCTGTCAACTGTTTCACCGTGGAGCGCCGGGACAGGTTGATCCATAAATTGAGGAAAAAAGGTACGAAAAAAAAATCAGTCAAGCAAGCAAAATTTATTGGAGTAATATCCTAATGGGCAAATGAAAACAGACATCTTGTTTTAACAAATAATT